GATGATGTATATTGGATGATTCGGGTATTCGGTTTGTGTTTTGAGTTAAAGGGTATTTCGGTAATTTTTTAGCTTGGGCTTCTATGGAAATGGATGTTTGTTCGGTATATGGTAAGCCGGGTACAACTTTATTAAAGCATAGAGCTTCTTGTTACCTTTTCATGGATATGTGGATCGTTGGAATCGGATGTGTATCGAAGAAGTTATGGCCTTCAGAATGTGTAGGGTTTAAGGGGGGAACCTTAGTACGCGGGGCGTACCTAGGAAGTACGTGGGGTATACTATTTCGCAAAAAAGTACATGAGGCATAGTGTGGATTACGCTGAGCGTAGTACGAGGGCTGATTGGGAATGCGAAGTCTCATACGATGGGCGTACGAGGTGTATGTGGGGCGTATGAGGCTTAGAGGAAAATCCTAATTTTAAGTGATTGTACCCTATATAAGCACATTAAGTCCTTAGGGCTGACCTCTTTACCAACCCCTAAGTCCCCAAAACCCTAGAAATCGTCGTTTAGCCTTCATGGTGGTATTTTAAGCTCATGGTGTCCATTTTTGGTGTGTTTGGTCCATTTTCAAAAAAGATGGAGTTTGGTGCAAGGATTGGGATCAAGGAAGAGCTTATGGATCTGGATTATGGGATTTATTTCCAGCTTGTTTGAGGTAAAAAGCTATGAACTTGATCATTGATGTCTTAGATCTAGCATATATGAGTTTTTGGTTCATTTTGGTCTTAAAAATGAGATCTAGTGGTTTGGTACCACTCTAGGAGCTATGAGTTGCCACTCTTGGTGTTTCTGAGGTTCTTGATGCATAAAGTTGCCTCCTTTAGGGTTTGGAATCCCCCATGTATGAGTTGGTGTCCATTTGGTGAAATTTTAATGCTTTAAGTTGATGTTGGGTTCTTTTGAGGCATGCAAAGTCATCAAGTCAATGACTTTATGGGTCTAGATGTTCCTTAAGAAGTAGATATGTGGTTTGGACTCCTGGTTTTGAGCATTAAGTGCTTAATGGAGTTTTGGGCTTAATGGAGGAGTACGCGCAACATACAAGCCAGATTGCATGTACGCTTAGCGTACAGCTGACTACGCCTTACGTACTCAGTCAGGAGGGGTTTGGCATGGTGGGCTTCGGTGTGGGCCGTCTTTTGGGCCTAGTTGTCTTGGGCCCTATTGGGCCATCAGGTTTTGAGCTGATAGTTATGTTGGAAAGGCCTTCAATGGGTTTGGGCCCAATTTGAAAAATCGGGGCATGAATTGGGCCATGAGTGGTTTTTGGTATTTGGGCCCCTTGGATTATTGAGTTTGGGCCTTGGTCTTGGACCAAGCTAGGTTAGGGGTAAAATGGTATTTTTACCTCGAGTATGGATTTATGGTTACGGTTTGGAACCCAATTGGTAATTGGGTGTTGTTTTGATATTGACAGTTCGGGAATCTATCAGTCAGCAGTCAGGGATCGTCTGTATGTTTCGGTAGTGCGAGGTGAGTCTCCTCACTGGGTTCAGCGGGTCGAAGGCACCAATGCTAGCCCATGGTGTTATGTTAGGATGCTAGATGTATGTTGGACTCTTGCACGCGTTATATGATGATATGTTTATCAGGCAAGGCTTGATGCTAGGCGTGGCCTGAGGAGGATATCGTATGTTAATTATCAGTATGTGTCTTATGATTACCGGGCGAGGCCCGATGTCGGGCGGGGACCGATGACTGTATGGTATGCTACAGTCTTTGTGATTATTACATGTGCTAGTAGGGTTATATGTTGATATGATTATATGGTTATATGGTTATGTGTATAACGGGCGGGACTCGATGTCGGGCGAGGCCCGATGACTGGAACGTTTGCAAGTGTTTATGATCATTTTATGTGTTAGCATTATTATGTGATATATTGTATGTGTATAGTAGGCGAGGCCCAGTGACATGAGAGGCCTGAGAATAACAGATCTGTAATCCGAGTGGGGCTTGATGCCGAGCGAGGCTCGATGTCAGGCGGGGCCCGAGGCTGAGTGGGACTCGTGAACGGGCGAGGCCCGATGGAGGGCCAGGGCCCAATATGTGATTTATGTATGTGTGGTATGTGGTATCTTGGGGAACTCACTAAGCTTTGTGCTTACGGTTTTCAGTTTATGTTTAACGTACTTCGGTTTTCAAAATGGAAGAGCTCGAGATGATTTCAAAGCACACACCACACGTTTCCGCATTCTGTGAATTACTCTGATTTAATGATATTTTGTTAAATCTTGGCTACCTTGGTTTTATGGAGTTGTTATGTATTAACGATTTATTAATCTAAAAACGAAAATTTTGTGTCATTATTTTGGGACGTTACATCTTCCTCCTCTAGTCTACAACTATGTTCTCGGATGAAAAAATGCTAAGGAAATCTGGGATACTTTGAAAGAAAAGTATCAAGTTAATGAGAGGAGAAAGAAAAGCTCGCTGACGAAGTGTTTGTCTAAACTTGCATATTTCAAAGCAGCAGGAAAACAAAAATATCGAGGCATATTATGACAGGATGAAAGATTTGATCTTCAAGTGCAATCATTATGGGATGATTCATACAACTTTGGAATTTAACCTCATTTTCAATAATTTACTCAGAAAAGAATGGTGAAACATCTGTTTGATGATCAAGACACATGAGAATTTTGATACATATTTGTTATTGAATTTGTACAACATTCTAAAAACACATGAATCAGAGGTAATGGAAACTGATGAAGAAAACAAGTTGAACTATGGTGGTCTAATGACATTGGTTTCAAAAACAAATGTGAAGGATGACGAGTCCGACGAAGATACGAAAAGAAGATGAATAAGGAGAAGTTGTTGCCTATTACTCAAACAATAGGGTGAAAAAGTTTTTCAAGAAGCCTATGAGTGGAAACTTTAAAAACAGCATGGAGAAGAAGCCAATGTCGAATGTTAGAGGAAGTCAGTAAGTGATGGCAAAAGTTGAAAGAAAGAGGAAGAGAAGAAGTCTGAGTTGAAACTGAAGGGAGATTCAAGTTACAACTACAATTACTGTACTGGCCACAACCACATGGATAAGGATTGCATGTTAAGAAAGAAGGAAGAGAAGAAAGAGATGGTGAAAGATGAAGCCTATTATACGAAAAGGCTTGAGAAAGTTCATGCTCAGACGAAGTATCTTTCGCTAATGGCCAAAGGAAGTGATAATAGCGATGACAGTTATCAAATTTTGTCGTCTGGATCTGATGAAGAAGAAATGTGTCATCCTACTCATGGTGTGAAAAGCTTGTTTGAGAAAGAGGTGGAAGACAGTGATAAGGAATTGGAGGAGAATGCGAAAGTTGAGGGACGTGATGAAGAAGGTGTGGAGAGCATGGGAAGATGTTTTGTTTCGTCAAGTCCAAAATCTCCAATGACTGCCAAGGTGCATGACCTTCTTGTTTCCCTAAATATTCTGTTAAATTATTATCATGTTGTTTTATGTGATTTTGATGAAACTTGCTCTTATTTATATGACATGCTTATTTCAATGAGTAGTGAAGCTGAGAAATGTAAGATGTCCTTTTATGAAGCTCGAAATAGGTTGGAGGAGAAGAACACTAAGATAGAGTGTTTAGAACTTAAAATAACCTATACCATATGTGATAGGATGGTCTTAGGAGGGATAATATGATGTTAGTCAAAGAACATAATATTTAGTTTAATACTACGAAACGCTTGTATGACAAATTGACTAATCTTTATCATTTTGCTGATATTTGTGTTGAACTACATCAGAAGTTGCTTCTCTTCATTACTTTCAAACGAGAGTTAGCTGATGAAACTACTTTCGTCTGTGAGAGTAAAGTAGTTGAATATGCCACCATTCCAAATTATTCATATGCTTATGGTGTGGTTAACATAAATGATTGATTGCGAATGAGACCTGGACTAAAAACGAACAAATCAAAATTTTGAACAAGACCGAGAATTCGGCACAATGTACTCAACAAAATTTTGCTGATATCGAAGATGACTCTGACACTATCAGTGAAAAATCAAAATAACTACTAAGCAAGATGATCGAACTAAGATTTGAATGAAGCCTCAAAAGCACTATCATCAAAGCCACTCCCATCTATCTAAAAAATCATTACAAGGAAAAAACATATCTATCTTACTTAAATTGCTGCCATAAAATGATCGGACCATGTCATGTGGTTTCTTCGATTATTGCTTGAAGCATGGTGTTATGTACTATGTTTGATAAATTCTAGACGACTAACGGTGCTTTATAAAAAAACCACAAACCATTTGAATTTTGTCTATACTTGACTCTCGTCTCTCTTAGTAGATCTCTCCTCTCTCTCTGTATGTGTTTGTGCGCACACATGTAGTCATGCATGATCCCAAAATGCTTACCTCGACAACTTTTCGTAGATTTTAGAACCAGTGTGAGTGTCCATCTTCCCCCCCCCCCCCCCCCCCCTCAAACTGTGGGGCCTATTAGCATAACATATGTTGGAGTAGCATATATTATTGTAAGGATATATTTTATTTCTTAAATCCCTTGATTGTCGAGATGTAATTTGTACTCACACTATTTAAGTCGTGATTATTTTAATAGAGTGGCAAGCACATTATATGGAAATTATATCAAATTATAAAACATTGATTTTTAAACAAACTAAATTGATTTCAAATTACTATTTCATGTAATTTGTCATATATTTGTATGTATATGTCAAGTGTTTGGAGGTGCTAGTATATGTTTGTAGATGTGGATATATATATCTATATATATATATATATATATATATATATATATATATATATATATATATATATATATATATATGCTGAATTATTATGTAGTTTAATAATTAGATATTTGAGTAAAGGAAGAAAAAGCAGAATCTTTTGGCCAAGTGGCTAAGTTATTTCTAACAGTAGCTAAAAACGTCCAGACTCGAACTTACCCAAACTAATTACTGAAAATACTCTTCATTTCTCACCCCCACGAGTGTCTGCAGTCTGTGATTTGTGACTAGTCTTTTGAACCCTTTTCCTGTTCCTCTTCAAAATCATCTCTCATTTCCAAGACTTCTTCCCCACAACATGACGTTTTTAATCTCTATTTTTCTCTCTATCTTCGTACATTCGGTCCAAACAGCTAAGCTAGCAACATAGAAACTACTGTAATCATCATCATCATTATCTTCTTCTTGTTGTTCTTTGTTGTTTCATCAATGGGCATGATTTTTGCAGACTGTTTTGGTTCTTTGTCGATTAACAATGATAACCCTTTAAAGATCAACGATCATTTCATCTATAGCAGTCTAACTACTTCTTCGTCGTCGTCTCTCTCTTCTTCTTCTCTGGAGTTCCCTTTTATGCTCCCTACAACAACTACTACTACAATCAATAATCACAATCCTTCAAGAAATTTTCATGAAGATGAAAATCAAGGACATGATGACGAGGAGGAAGAAGAAGAAGGGGAGAGAGAAGAAGATGACGACGAAGAAGAACACATTGGCCTAAATATCAGTGGCAGTTACTCTTTCAATGGTAACATTGATAGCCATCAAAATGGAAGACTTAGATCGGGTGGACAGTCAAAGACAAGTGCAAGAGGCCATTGGAGGCCAGCTGAAGATGCTAAGCTTAAAGAACTTGTTGCCCTTCATGGCCCCCAGAACTGGAACCTTATTGCTGAGAAGCTTGAAGGCAGATCAGGTACTTGTACACAGTTTTGGTTCTAGGTTTCTTGCATTTTTTTTTGGAGAAAGTGTGTTTGTGTGTGTAGTTTGTTACACAAAAAAGGTAAAGATTTGTGAGTGTTTGGGCATTCCTCTTTTCTTTATGTTTCCTTGATAAGAAATATAAAAGAAGTGGGGATTGGAGCCAATATATGTTTCTTTTCCCATGAACAAATGCGACAATCAGAAAACTTCTAGTTTCTTGATTCTTGTTTCAAAACCTTTGTATATTTTCTTGGTGGAAAGACTTGATCTTTGGGTTGATTTTCTTATTATTTGTTGTCGGTATTTTGAAAAAAAAAAAAACAAAAAAGGAAAGAGTTGCAGGTTGAGATGGTTCAATCAACTAGATCCAAGAATCAACAGAAGAGCATTCAGTGAAGAAGAGGAAGAGAGACTAATGACAGCACACAGACTGTATGGCAACAAATGGGCATTAATGGCGAGGCTTTTTCCCGGTAGAACTGACAATGCTGTCAAGAACCATTGGCATGTGATCATGGCTAGAAAATATAGAGAACAATCTAATGCGTACAGAAGAAGAAAGATGATGATGATCAGTCAAAGTCAAACTCAAAGTCAAGCATCTGTGGCACTACCACCACCACCACCAGCGGTCTCAGCCACCACTGCCGCTGGTCATCTACCTTACACTGGAGCTCTCCACCAACTGCCACCGTCAGATCTCGTTTCTGGTCAGCTCTTCTCTTAGCTTCCTTTCTTTGTGGCGAGCTTTTGAGAGTTCTTGTGATCAATTGCTATTTGGTCACTGTTGCTTTGCATCATTACATGGAATCCAAAATTATTCAAACACCAGAAGTCCTGAAAATTCATTAATAAATGAGTCGAGCACATAACATAATTAAGTATTCGTTGTGAAATTATTAATTTATGAGTCTAACATGAATAATTAATGGGACAATATATCTAATTATACTAATAAACTTGTTTTCTGCGGTTCCAAAAAAACAAAAACTTATAGATTTGTTAAAATTGTCATCGACGCTTGGTTAACAAGAATGTAGATTACCAGTAAGACAACGAGTTCACCCTAATTAGCTTTTTAAAAAATATAAACATATACTATGAAAAAAGGGGCAATAATAATATATCCTCCGAAAACATATATAAAAATATAAAACTCATGTAAAAAACACAAAGTGATTTACATTTATAGTTTTAATAGTACTCATTATAATATTGACCTAATTATATAAAATAACCACTGACTATTAACAACCTTAGTGATTAACTCAGACAGTTTCTTTTGGTTGTTCAGTGACAAAAGTGTATTCTAAAAAATGATTAATAGTTACATATTTTTTATGTCCAACATACTTCGTATTTCTTTCAGATTAATACTACTTTATCCCAAGTTTAATCAATTTATGAGCACCAAGGAGTCTATTCAAATTTTAATTTAATTATATAAAAACTTTATTTGTCAAAAGTCAAAACACAATACAACTTAAAAAAAGACCTTGGGATCCTCAAAACTATAATTCGCACACAAACTTGTATGATAAACCTAGTTTCGTTATTTGTGTCATCCTCCATTGGACTCAGATTGCTTTACAAATTGTTTTTCAGGTCCCAAGAACAACACTGAGTTGATGATGGACATGCTCAACACCAGTAACCATGGCAACATCATGTCTTGGGAAAACCATTCATCATTATTCTCATCATCATCAAACACATCCTGGATGATGAATACTACTAACCCCATCAACTTCCATTATGATCGTCATCATCAGCATCCTGCTCCATTGATGAATGCAACTATGGACCAGAAGTACTACTACTACAACCACCATCTTTACAGTAGCAGCAGCTACTTACCAACAGCTGCAGCTGCACCACCACCAGAAGAAGTTTCAGGGAGCCAGCATTTTTCTGAAACTAATAATAACTTTTCACCACCATTTATAGACTTTCTTGGAGTTGGAGCCATATGAAGACCCAAATGTAGGATAAGTCTTGGAACCTTGAATGCAAGTAAAATCTCAGAGAAAGAGGGTTTCCTTTCTTTTCATTTCCTATATAACCCACTAAATCCGCAGAGGATCTCAAGTGTTGACTGTCTTTAATGAGCCATTGGAGAATTAGAGGAAAACAATTACAAAAAGGACAAGTAGGGGTAGGCGAGTAGTAGTTTTCTCAATCTAAGCATGGGTGAAAGTGAAATTAAAATGTGGCACTTTATTGCTCCCATTTTTTCTTTTAAGTTCTCATTAAAAAATACTTCATTTCATTGTGCTACAAAGTACTAACCGATGCATTTTATCCATGGTAACAAACAAAGACAATTCCTAAATTAAAATAATTGTTTTTGTAAGGTAATTAACTATTATCTTTGTATATATTTAGTCATTTTCTTTATTGTATACGATATACTATTAAAATTACATGACTTGTTAAAACTCTACTATTACGACGGGGGATTGTAGTTATTATCATTTTTATTCACGACCAACACTTAGGTGCTGTTTGTTTTTTGGAAAAAAAAAATAAACATTTTCAGACCTCTTATTGTTGCGTGACGCAGAACACGCACAACATTTTTCATCTTGCAGCTGTTTGTTTTTCAGAAGTCTTCGGATTAAAAAACATTTGCGCGTGTTCTTCTTGGCGCAGCACTTGTTTTGCCTCTTCCTACCTCTTCTTTTTCTTTTTTTCTTGCTAAAATATTGATTATATATTGTTGAAATCTTATTTCACAATTTTTTTTTCTTTTTTTTTTGTTTATTCTTGTTGAATTTTTTTTATATTGAATAATAATAATTTGTTGATGAAATATCATTATTTTATGCTAAAATATCTTTATTTGTTTGTTAAAATATCATTATTTTTTGCTGAAATATCATAAATTCTTGCCGAAATGTCATACATTATTAAATTTTCGGTAGTAAAAACTATTTTCGGATTATAAAATCAGTTTATTTTAATTTTTTAATATCTGCAGCAGCATGCAGATGTTAAAAAAACAAACACGTTTCTTATTACAGTCTGCAACCGTTTGGTCCACCTCTTCTACTGCAGAGGGTTGCAGAGATGGTCCGCAGACGTTATGGATTTTTGCTTCAAAAAAACAAATAGCACTTTAAGCTTTTTTTGTAACGATTACCATTGAACTATATACCACTCATCTTCTCACGTTAACAAAATTCACTCCCACGAGCACCGCCACTATTCACCTCTAGCAACAAACACCATTGTTCGTTATCCGCTAAATAACAATTAAGTTATTTGTTCCATTGTTTTTTTTTGTTGGGATCGCCGTATACAATGAAGATTGAAGTAAAGAGTGATGAAATCTTAATTGAATTCTTAAATGGATTTCAATGAAGCTTGTGAAGGGTCTCAAACATTACATGATGTCTAGTAAAAGCATGTGCAATATTAAGAAAGAAATATGGTGTCGTTAGTTTCGACCCAACGGTTATGAGTAAGTATGAGTGCAAAGCTTCATTGTGGCATATTTGGTTTTTTGACGATGTTTTTGTTTTTCGGCAATGGATGTCTAGTTACATCAACATCTAATTGTGTTTCCCCAGAGAAAATGACCAAAAAATTGATTATTTTCCTAGCCACTACTACAAAAAGGCTTATATGACATGGGTTAAATCAATTAAATAACCATCTTTTGGACGGAGTCTTATGGTCGACGAGTTTTATGTGAAAGAAGAAATAAAATTTGATTTCAAAATCGGGTCCTATCAGTGTGAGAAGAACACTGTTGTTCATGAAAACAGGACATATAACAATATTAGAGTACACAAAACTAGACCACATAAGGATATTATGTTGCGGTTTTACAACACAAAATCGGGTCATATAAAGTGATAAGAGTCTGATTCCTATCCCCAAAACTGAGTCATATAACGATTAAATTGGCACTGGTTCCATTCAGATAAGTGGGCCATATAAAGAACGTTGATTTTTTTTTGTGAAAATAACCATTCGGACTTACATCCATAATTACACTATGTTACAATTAACCACCTACACAAACATACAGAAATGGAGTCTTACATCCAAAACACATATTCAATACAAAGTGTATGCTATGATGAACAAGCACTAGAAATGTAGACATGCTAAATAACCAACTATTATATTCATTGATATCAACATGTTTGAGTGTCATAAGAAAAATATTTGATTTGGTCATTTATTACTAAATAAAACTTACATAAAAATTTTGAAAAAAGAAATTGTTAACGCATCGTAGAGGGATTGTCCCATAATCAAGTGTAGTAACTATTCTCCATCCTCACTGCAAAACAAACACAACAAAAAATCAGTTTTTTTGTCGAAGATTTCAAAACAATTGAATTTAACAAATAATCATTAATAAACCATTTTAATTTGGGAGAAATTCGTATTATCATTCTCACTCATCAAAATATCTTATTTGTCAACCTAAATATGATATTTTGATGTTTAATAAGGGCATAACTATAAATAATTCTCATATATTAAGTTAATGTGTGTGTGTGTATATATATATATATATATATAGTAGATAATAGAGTAAAGGATAATGAAGATGTACCTTAGTGAGAACAATTGCAATCCACAACCATTGATTTACAGTGCCAGTTCCATCGTGTCGGATGCTAACTTCATTTGATATCAGAGGAATATGAATACATTTAAATCGTTCATCTATGTCGTTTATCACAACCTTCAAGTGATTTTCGTATAAAGGAAGTGAATGTATTAACCCATGATTATATGGAAAGACCATCCATTTGGCACATGCTTGAAATGGAAACAATAACTGAAGCTTACATACTTTATTCTTTGTTAGTATAAAAAACAATTCAATAACCGTAATAGTGAAGAAAAGAAGAAGCATAAATTTCTTACATATTAACCAACCGAAATAAGAAAGGGGTGAGAGAGAAGAGGCAATAAAGCACATGATTCAATGGTGGAGGTAATATTCATCTGATGATGAAGGACATAACAAAGGCTCTCTGAGTCAAGAGTTGTTTGATTTTTTTAGAAGCAGTCATATATATATATATATTATATATATATATATATATATATAATATATATATATATATAATATATATATATATATATATATATATATATATATATATATATAGAAACGGAAAAATAAGGTGTTTGATGATAACCATAACATGTACACTAATCCAAAGGATCAAGAAATGAATTTCAACATAACAAATATGAAAACCTTATGAAAATTAGTATTGTTAAATTTTTCTTGCAAATACAAAATGTTCGTTGAGAAATTCGTAAAAAAAACTACTACATTCTTGCAAAGTATAGAGTTTATTTCCACATTTTCATGAGAATACAATTAGGTTATAGTTAAAATAACAAAGATTATCAAAAGCACCTTCTTGTCAATAGTCAACACTCCATATAAAAATGCCCCTTTCGGCTCCAGTTTATTGAATGAAAAACTACATTGTCACAGAGCCATCTTGCTTCATTTTTACATCAACATTGGTTTAGCTGCAAATTATCAATAAAGAAAAAGAGAAAATGTAGGACTAGAAGTAATTGGAGAAGATCTTAAAAACTAATGTTGGGAATGAGGATGATTGAAAAGAGAAAGGGAAGCATATGTTCGAAACCATTGTACGGAGACTATATCTGAGAACTAAAGCGCCTCTTAACACCTTCCTAAAAAGGTTTATGGATTAACTTTTCTAAGAAACCATCTATGAACGACCTTAAAAACCATTAATGCTTCTTTATTACAACTATCAAATAACACCAAAAACTTAGTGTGCTTGGTTCTCTGTTTTCCATTAGCTACTATTTTGGACTAATTTGATACTGCAAGAGATTCTACATAAATCATGTGAAAGTGTTATAGAATTTGAGTAATCAGTCTGCAAAAAAAAAAAAAAAAAAAAAAAATGAAAGATGATTCAAAGAAAAGCATGCACCTATGTTTCAAAGTTGATGCCTTGCTTGCCAGAGCACCACAAACATACACCTTCTATTTCTTAATATATTAATAAAAAAAAGAAACATATATTGTCTAAGCATCATTCATGGCTAGTCCAGTTACTTATTCAACTTATTAACAAAATATATGAGGCTTTCTAAGTAAGGAACTAAACATATGACAAAACAATATGAACTCCATTTGCATGATCAATGGTTAGTCTAATTACTTAGTAAAACTCTTAGTGGTAGTTGTTTGTAGATAATTCTTAAGAATCACTGAAGTTACTAAGGCTCGATCACTATGTAAGCTTATAATCGATGTCTAAATTTATCAAGCTCCCATTGGTCCTTTATACATACAAATAATGATTTCTAATTGTGGTCTGGCAAAATCGATACTGCTAAAATAAAAGAAAATTGGTTCAACTAACTAAAAAAATGTTAATTCCAACTCGTGTTCATGTAAAACCAAAAATATCCAACCGCCCATAAATACATATATACCCATTCCCCCAAAAAGTGAAGAATGTATGTTTTGCTTTTTATCTTGAAATTGTAGTTCATTTTTGTTACATTTAATGAGAAAGGAAGATGAAATGAAAGAAATGATATGTGAGACAATGATCTCTGAATGAAAACTTTCTCATTGATTAAAAACAATAGCATCAAGATGTATATACAGAGCATCCAACTAACTCTAACTGCCAAGACTAACAACTAACTAACAATAAATATATGAAATTACTAAAATGCCCTTAGTTAGTTTGAACACCCACTCAATTTGGAGGGTGGGAAAGTAAACCTAGATTGCGAATTATTTGCTGATGATGAAAACTCATGAGTTGTTTTGTAAAAACATCAAGAAGTGGCTTGGCAATAGGAACATGTGATAATGAAATCAATCCTTCTTCTAGCTTCTATCGAACATAATGGCAATCCAACTCAACATGTCTTATTCCCTTGTGATAAACAGGGTTCTTCACTACATAAATGGCTGATTGGTTGTCACACTTCAATGGGATAGTAGTTATATTATTGACTTGTAGATCAGGAAAAACAAGAGTAAGTCATGCAAGTTCATCCCATATTCTTCACATGGATCTATACTCAGCTTCAGCTGGGGATAATGAGATAGTCAATTGTTTCTTTGATTTCCAAGAGATAGGATTGCCTCTAAAAAAATGAAAAAAACACTTAAATGTCTTGTAGTAATG